TGTACACTATGGTGTACACTTTAGTTTTTCTTTGCCACGTGACATTACCCTGTTGTACAGTCTATATTTCAAACAGTTTTCCCATCCAATTAACACTTGACAACAATGCAAGTGTCAAACAATGTGTCAAAAATCAGTGTATAACTAGCAAAGATCAATCGATAAGAACCTTACTACATGTACACTATGGTGTACACTTTACTTTATATTTTGCCACGTGACATTACCCTGTTGGACAGTTTAAATTTCAAATAATTTTCCCATTCGATTGACACTTGACATCAATGCAAGTGTCAAACAACGTGTCAAAAATCAGTGTACAAATAGCAAAGTTCAAATGGTAAGAACCTTGCTACATGTACACGACGGTGTACACTTTAGTTTACACATTGCCACGTGACACTACCTTGCTCAGTTTTCCCATCCAAGTGACACTTGACCAGAATGTAAGTGTCAAACAATGTGTAAAAAATCAGTGTACGAAGAGTAAAGTTCAATTGGTAAGAACCTTACTACATGTACACTATGGTGTACACTTTAGCTTACACTTTGCCACATGACATTACCTTGTTGGACAGTTTGAATTTGAAGCAATTTTCCCATCCAATTCATACTTTACAACAATGCAAGTATCAGACAACATGTCGAAAATCAGTGTACAAATAGCAAAGTTCGATCGTTAAGGACCTTGCTACATGTACACTGTGGTGTAAAATTTAGTTTACACTTTGCCACGTAATATTACCCTGTTGGATAGTTTAAATTTTAAACAGTTTTCCCATCCAACTAACACTTGACAACACTGCAAGTTTCAAACAACGTGTCAAAAATTAGTGTACAAAATTCAATCAATAAGAATGTTGCTACATGTACATTATGGTGTACACTTTAGTTTACACTTTGCCACATGGCATTACCCTACTGGACAGTTCAAATTTCAAACAGTTTTCCCATCCCATTAACACTTGACAACAATGCAGATATCAAACAACATGTCAAAAATTAGTGTACAAATATCAAAGTTCAATCGGCAAGGACCTTGCTACATGTACTCTTTGGTGTACACTTTAGTTTACACTTTGCCATGTGACATTACCCAATTGGACAGTTTAAATTTCAAACAATTTTCCCATCCAATTGACACTTGACAACAATGCAAGTGTCAAAAATCAGTGTACAAATGTTAAAGTTCATTTGGTAAGAACTTTGTTACATATACACTATGGTGTACACTTTAGTTTACCCATTGCCACGTGCCATTACCATGTTGGACAGTTTAAATTTCAAGCGGTTTTCCCATCCAATTGACACTGGACAACAATGTAAGTGTCAAACAACGTGTCAAAAATCAGTGTACAAATAGCAAAGTTTAATCGGTAAGAACCTTGCTACATGTACACTATGGTGTACACACTTTAGTTTACACTTTACCTCGTGACATTATCCTGCTGGACAGCTTAAATTTCAAACAATTTTTCCATCCAATTGACACTTGACAACAACGCAAGTATCAGACAATGGGTAAAAAATCAGTGTACGAAGAGAAAAGTTCAATCGGTAAGAATCTTGGTACATGTACACTATAGTGTACACTTTAGTTTACACTTTTTCACGTGACATTACCCTGTTGGACTGTTTGAATTTTAAGTAGTTTTCCCATCCAACACACACTTGACAATAATGCAAGTGCCAAACAACGTGTCAAAATCAGTGTATAAATAACAAAGTTCAATCATTAAGAACCTTGCTATATGTACACTATGGTGTACGGACAGTTAAAATTTCAAGAACCTTGCTATATGTACAGTTTGTCACGTAACATTACCCTATTGGACAATTTAAATTTCAAACAATTTTCCCATTCGATTGACACTTGACATCAATGCAAGTCTCAAACAATGTGTCAAAAATAGTGTACAAATAGCAAAGTTCAAACGATAAGAACCTTGCTACATGTACACGATGGTGTACACTTTAGTTTACACTTTGCCATGGGACACTACCTTGCTGGACAATTTTGATTTTAGGCAGTTTTCCCATTCAATTGACATTTGACAACAATGCAAGTGTCGAACAACGTGCTAATATAAGTGTACAAATAGCAAAGTTCAATCGGAAAGAACATTGCTACATGTACACTATGGTGTACACTTTAGTTTACACTTTGCCACGTGACATTACCCTGTTTGTAGAGATTGAAAAAAAAAATATGTTTTGTTTCGTTTCAAATAAAATTTTCTTATAGGACTCAAGTATAATTTGGGTTATATTACTATGTCGCTACGACACTTCCTAATAGTCCAAATTAGATTTTGGTCACGAAAGTAAAATTCCCCGTACTTGATTTTCTTAAATTTTACAAGGTGTTAAAATCTCTGTAGACGACAAATTTTGTTTGTTACTTTGTTTTGACGACACACATTTTATTGTTTATCTATTAAATCTTTAAAAGTTAGATTAGAAAACCTATTGTATAGTGCATTAACCATCCCAACTTACCTTATTATTTAAACCCAATTTTTGATTAGCCATAAAAAAAATGCCATTTGGTTATTGGGACGATAACTTACATGTCCCTATCCATTTCAATTTGGAAGTTAACATTTTAAAATTTCAACCACCCCCATTTCCTCAAGTGTAACCTCCAATTTTATGTACAACTCCCACCACTTCATTTGAGGAATTGTAACTCCCATTTAAGTGCATTACCCGGCCACATCATTTGAAATATATATATAAAAGAAAAAGGTCCCTTTATTTTTAAATCATAAGTTTGTTTTGATAACTCAAATTTAAAAACTTCTTTAGCCCCATTTTCTCCCCTAATTCTTTTGCCCATTTCCCATAAACTAAAGTATCTTTAAATCTAAAAATTTATTTGAAGAAGAGGCAAGAAGTGCACTGCATTTTTACTTCTTATTGAACGCAAAACAGTATTCAAATTACAAGCATTAAGGTAGGGGTGTTTGGGCACTTTTGTAAGTGATGAAAGACTTATATGTTTTCGCTTGCATTAAACTCACTATTGTGTTACTCATGATGGAATCACCATTTGGTGGTTTACACAAGAAATGGAATCGCCGTTTGGTGTTTTATATGAAGAAATGATTATGAATAATGAAATGGGGTTATCAAAACCTACAAGTAAGCGGACTTGACTGATCACCAACTCGCTTGAAATTGACGGTGACACAATCAATTAAAGTTTACATTTCTGAATATATATATTTTTACCATTTACTTAAGTGATTCCTACTGAGTATTATTTATAGTACTCATCCCTACAAATAATTTTACAGGTTAAGATCGAGGCATGGCAGTGGTTGGCATAGTGGCAAGTGTTCGGCGATCTCTAATGCTTTCAATTTCTAGTAAATATTTCTATTTATGTAAACAGTTTATGGATACTTTAATGACACTTTTTAGAAATTTTTTAATGTTTATTTTGTCTAGTTTCATGGACGATGCATGTTAACTAGAAATTAGAGATGTTTGATTGAATACGTATGAAGTTTAAATTTATGCTGGGTTAAATTTCAGATTCTGTCCTCCTATTTGAAAATGGTATAACTTGGGCTACGGTGCATGTTTTTAAGTGAAATCAGTGGGGTTTGAAAGGTCTACGAGTCTTTTAATATTGGCCTTTGTAATTTCTCAAAAATAATTTCTAAAGGAAACGTTATGCCGGTTAGTAAACTGCATCGTGTCAAATCCCAGATTCCTGTCCAGCATATTAGAGTAATATTTTTGTGCTTCAAACGTTATCGTCGAAACCCCAAATTTTTATATGTCGTACATACATGAATGCTTTAGTCCCTGTAAAAATTTCATAAATTTTAATAGACATTTGCTACGCCGAATATATTTTTCTTCCGCTGTTGTTAAATCCGTAATTGTCAATTTGTCTTCAAATCTTTTAAAAAATCAAATTTTGCTACATTTGCCTAAGTTTATATAGATAGCTACCTTCAATTATATTTTATATTTAAAAAAATTTTGGATTTATAAAATACTTTGGCTAGCGTCAAAGGGGTCAAACCAAAGAAAGAAACGAATATTATTTTAATGCTTCGGGTTCTGAGAATTCAGGGCGTTACAACTTGATATCAGAGCCTAGGTTTTTTTTTCTATAGACTCACAATAGAAACCATATCTTAGAAGTGTTTTGTCACATATAAAGTTGAACAAACTCTTTTGAGGATCTTGAGCACTATGCTTACCATAGCCGCGCCATGCCAATTTTGAGGTAAAGAAAGTTTTATGATTATGCTTGTATCTATGTGATGATTATGAAATAGTTATTTCAAATACAACATTTGAAATGTATTTATGAATATTAATATATGTTTGAGCTGAATACCTCTTGTGAATAATCATTATTTTGCAAAGTATTTTGAGAACGTGACCATATTAAATGTTTATTTAAGTCCTCAAAAATTAACTAAAACTTATTAGATACCCACTAATTGGAATTTGAATAATTGGTAGGAAGATGAGTTCATTGATGCCTCGTCAATGTGAGATCATGAGACAGTATGATGAGTATCAGTGGAATCCAATGCACAATATGCATGAGCACATTTGGGAAATGCTTGTAAGGTGGAGAGAGGTGAGACAACTAGGCTATATGGTCACTGGGTGTCAGGCCACCCGCCTTCTTATTGATACCTTGCCAGAAGAGTGGCTGGAGACTGTCGAATCGATATATGAATCGATTTATGATTATTTATGGGGTATTGCTATGCCTACTTTGCCTCGAGAGATTAACTATGAGGCCTTTTGCATGGAGCTGATTGATCAGTGGGAGTTGGCCCGACTCGCGATCCCTGAGGATGATAGTGTACCTACTGAGATGTACATTCATAATGATGAACCTCCATCTATTTCAGACGATGAGGCATAACCTTCTAAAAAACCTAGGGTTCAGGGAGGCTGGATTAGTGGTGACGATGAATAAAGAATCAAAATCTTAGTAGATTTTATTAGGTTAATTGTTATTGATGTCTAGTAGGATTTCTTTTGTTTTTTCGTTGACTAGCGCCAGACGCTCTGTTATTGCTTTATATTCCTCTTGAAGGATTTTATTTAGATGATAATAAAAGATTTTTGAGCTATAAATCTCTTCCCTATATTGTGAAAATACTGTCGACTTCTCTGAATGAGATTACATTTATGATGGTATATAGGACTATGGCGCGAACAAAGATAATTAGGGAATTAAGGCGAGAGATTGATGAGTTGAAACAGGCTCTGGCTACTCAAGCTGCACCTCCAGCTCCACCAATCCCACCTGCATCGCCAGTACCATTAGCATATCGACATATACCGTCTATTTCAGCAGTAGAACAATTTCACAGATATCGACCCCTACCTTTGATGGAGGGAAAGACCCTCTGGCAGCTGAAGAGTGGTTGCGTGCTATTGAGAAAATCTTTCGGCACATCTCTTGTCCAGAAAATCAAAAAGTATTATGTGCTGAGTTTATGCTAGTTGGAAGAGCAAGCCATTGGTGGGAATCCTCATCACGTACTCGTACCGAGGAGGAACAATGTAATTCAACTTGGTACCAGTTCAAAATGGAGCTAGCAGAGAAGTTTTTCCCACAAGCTCTACGAGACTATAAGGAGGTAGAATTTTTAAGACTGGTACTGGGAGATATGGAATTTTCCGAGTATGAGAGCAAGTTTGAGGAATTATCTCGATATGCCCCACATCTTGTAAGTACTAAGCTAATGAAGGTAAAACATTATGAGAGGGGCCTGCGCCCAGAGATCAGGCAGATTATGAGTTCACACGATCTCACCACTTTTCAGGCAATTGTGAAGAAAGCTCAAATAGTAACATATTCGGGGGTGAAGTTGATAAATCAGGGACAGCGTAATGACTTTGGGAAAAGGAAGTAGTAGGATAAGAATAAGAATTCTAGACAGTTTAAGAAGCGAACATTTGTGGGCCAGTCAAGTAGTCCTCCATCCCAATGTCCTAAATGTAACAAGTTTCACAGATGGGAATGTCTGTATGGAAAATATACTTGCTATAAGTTTGGCCAACTTGGCCATGTGGTTTCCTCATGTCCATCGATTAAGAAACCCGAACAAGAGAAGAAAGGAAAAGCAAGGGTGTTTGCTCTGACTCACGATGAGGCTGCCCAAAATCTGGACGTAATCGCAGGTAGTTTATCCGTCTTTGGAACTTCGGTTTATATCCTTATTGATTCTGGTACAACACATTCATTCATATCTAATGCATGTCTAGCTAAGATCAATGCTTCAAGTAAGAAGAATGATAATGTACTAGAGGTTAGTATGCCATCAGGAGGAACTATTGATACTGATAGGATAGCAATGGGGGTACAAATAAATTTTGATGGACTGACATTAGAGGCTGACTTGTACGTTATAGAAATGAAAGACTTTGATATTATTTTAAGCATGGATTGGATAGGTAAAAATCGAGCCACGATAGTATGTTTTGAGAAAGAGGTAATTTTTCAAAGATAGAGAGAAGAGGAATTCAGATTTTATGGATCGAACGTTAAGGCACTTCCTCGCGTCATCTCAGCTTTGAAGGCAAAAAGCATGTTGAGGAAGCTTGACTGCCAGGGGTATCTTGTCAATCTTTTCGGCACCTCATCTCAAGATAAAATATTAGATGATGTGCCAATAGTACCAGAGTATGCTGACATGCTCCCCGATGATCTACCGGGTATTCCACCCGATAGACAAGTGGAATTCACAGTAGATTTGGTACCTGAAGCTACTCATGTGTTCAAAGCTCCATATCGAATGGCACCAAAGGAATTACAAGAGTTAAGGATGCAACTAGAAGAACTTCTAGACAAAAGGTTCATTAGACCAAGTGTATTTCCTTGGGGAGCTCTGGTACTCTTTGTAAAGAAGAAAGACGGTACTATGAGGCTGTGCATCGACTACCGTGAATTGAATAAGTTGATGATCAAAAATAAGTATCCTCTTCCTAGGATTGAAGACCTATTTGATTAGTTGAAGGGCGGATCCGTATTCTCAAAAATTGATTTAAGGTCGGGCTACCATCAATTGAAGATTAAGTCGGTCAATATACCAAAAATGGCATTTAGGACTCAATATGGGCATTATGAGTTTTCGGTGATGCCCTTTGGCTTGACGAATGCCCCTGCGATGTTTATGGACTTGATGAATAGAGTGTTCCATCAGTATTTGGACATGTTTGTCATCATATTTATTTACGACATACTAATATATTTGAGAGATTCCCTGCAACATGAAGAACATTTGAGGATAGTTTTGGGAACCCTGCGTCAGGAAAAGTTGGATGCCAAATTCAAGAAATGTGAATTTTGGCTTGACCGAGTGGGGTTTCTAGGCCATACTGTTTCAGCACAAGGAATTGAAATGGATCAATCCAAAGTTGAGGCCATAATAAATTGGCCGAAACCTACAAATGTTGGAGAAGTAAGGAGCTTTCTAGGGTTAACTGGTTATTATCGGTGATTTATAGAAGGGTTCTCCAAGATTGCAGCTCCTACGACACAGTTGATTCGGAAGGGTACTAAGTTCGTATGGTCGGAGAAATGTGAACAAAGTTTTCAAGAGTTAAAAGACAGGCTCGTATCTGCCCCGGTCTAACTATTCCCGATGGTTCAGAAGGTTTTGTGATTTATAGTGATGCATCCAAGCTTGGGTTAGGATGTGTTTTGATGCAACATGGGAAAGTAACAGCTTATTCTTCGAGGCAGTTGAAGCAATACGAACAGAATTATCCCACTCATGACCTTGAACTAGCAGCGATAGTGCACGCCTTGAAGATTTGGTGCCACTACCTGTTGGGCGCAAGTGCGAGATCTACACTGATCATAAGAGTCTCAAATACTTCTTCACCCAAAGGGAGTTGAATTTGAGACAGCGACGGTGGTTAGAATTAGTGAAAGATTATGACTACACTATCCTGTACCATCCGGGTAAGGCTAATGTAGTTGCTGATGCACTGAGTAGAAAGAACATGGAACAGTTGTCAGCACGTGTACAAGACAGGATCATTTAATAAGAGATTTTGAAAACTTGAGAATTGAAGTATTAATGTAATACTCCAAAATTTTATGCTTGTTTAAATTTCCGTAGGATAGTGATTTAACTTTCAATATTCTTTTTGGCCATAAGAAAAAGGGGACACCACCTTTGTAGTGGTTAATGCTAGAGGTAGTTAATGAATGTAGGCATGAAGTGTCGAAGGTTGTGTATGTATGAAGTGATTATTAGTTAGTCGAAACTTAAGGCAAGTTTGGACTTGAATGAAGTGGATTATTTTGTTAGGACTTCAATTGGCCAAATGATTAAATTATGTTACAATCTACAATTTTTGAATATGTAAGTTGGGTACAAGTTTAAATTTGGGGTACACTTTGTTAACAATGAAAGTTAGAGGGTTTAGATTATATTAGTTGAAAAGATGAGAGGTTTCCTTTGTAAAACTAGGTTTTAAGGCCACTTATTACCCTATAATCAACCTACTTGTTATCCATCATCACCATACACTTAGACAATAGGCTAAACATGTGTAAAGGTAAGAAAAAAAAATGGGAGGAGAAGGGGTGAGGCGGTGGAGTAGAGAAAAGAAGAAAAAAAAAATATCAAGCCTTATCCTTATCTTTATATATATATAAATACATCCATATCCATTGCCATAGAAAGATTTCCTTCATTTTACAAAACACTTATACACTTAAAAAGAGAGCAAAAACCGAAAATAAGAAAGGAAAGGGAAGGAAGTAAACCTAGCACTTCCAATTTACATTTCAATCGAAGATCTTCAAATTTTACGGTAAGATACTTTCATGCTTAAGAGTTATGATTTTCATGGTAATATTTATGCTTATGTTATGCATGAAAAACCATAATATGATTATGGTGGACAAGTCCACAAAGTTAGATATCTATTTATGCCTTAGGACAAGTCCGAAGGGCACCGGCAAGCCGGAATATGCAAGTATGGGTTTGACTGTATTCTTTTGTGTGGTATTATCATGATAAAAATCCAAGCATGGTATCTTATTGAGTGTTTCTTATACTCATAGTATGTTATGCTAAATTTTCAGATCTATGATCATTTGAATTGATGGAAGTTAGTTGGCTTACGCGATGATGGATTAAGGACAACGAAGTTTTGTACCGAAGGTTTTCTTTTGTGTGCTTTGTTCGATGACAGTTTTTCCATCTATTTTTTTTATGGTATTATGTAAAAATATGAACATGACATGATGTATTATGGTATTAATAGTAAATTTTGTAATTATATCTTTCATTTTATGTTAAGAGACATTTTTGTAGTTTATTTTCCTTGCAAGAGACAAAAGGCAGAAACGGGACAGTTTCTGGAGTCAATTTCAAAATAATGTTTCTAACTCTATAAACGTCCATTTGAAACTCTAAAAATATGTTTGTTTTCCTCTTTGAGTTTTCTAAATATGGCCGAAGGAATCACTCAATTTGGATATCTATGGCCTGAGTTATCAAGTTTTTAACGTCCAAAGGTCAATCTGGATCTCCTGTGTAATACTTCACTGTTTTCAGTAAAACGTCTATATCATAAGATCTTGGAAAATTTTCATATTTTAACCTAGAAAACTACTTGAAATTATCTTTCTAATGCCACAAATTTCATAGAAAAAGGAGTTGGGATGAATTTTATAAAAATTGTCAAACTTGCTGCCCCAACTAATCTTGACAGTGCCGAGGCCGTATATGTGAAGCATAATTCCTTGTTGACATGCACTTTTATCGGCCATCAAATTTTATAAGAATTATTTTACCATGTTGAAAATAAGTTTTTCACATGTAACACTTCTATTTAAGAGTATTTACATGTACCAAAGGCAGAAGCTATTATGTTTAGTACGTGACCCTCGAAGCGTAAGTTCGGGGCATCACAATTAACATCACCAGTAAGAACATCGGCGAAGTTAGCAAGTTTTACTATGAAATCGACACTCAGGGACAGAATAGTATCTGCTCAGAAAGATGATCCCTTTTTGGAAAAGATCAGGGCTGATTTAGGAACTGAGAAGATGAAGGGATTTGAAGTAGCCGGAGACAAAGCCTTGATGTTTAAGGGTCGATTGTGCGTGCCAAAAGATGAAGCATTGAGAAATGAAATTATGATTGAGGCTCACTCAACTCCTTACGCTGCCCACCCAGGTGGAACTAAATGTATCGAGATTTGCGTAATACATTTTGGTGGAGAAATATGAAGAGGAAGATAGCTCTGTTCGTGTCCAAATGCATGGTTTGCCAACAGGTGAAGGCTGAACATCAGAGGCTGTGGGGATTGTTGAACCCAATAGGCATACCAGAATGAAAGTGGAAAAAGATTGCAATGGATTTTGTCATTGGATTTCCTAGATCAGTGAAAGGTCATGATGCGATCTGGGTAACTGTGGACCAACTTACAAAATCTGCTCATTTCTTGCCAGTTCGGACAACCTACAGCTTAGAACAGCTTGCACAAATTTATGTCAGGGAGATTATACGACCTCATGGTTATCGGCATCTATCGTATCAGATAGAGACCTGAAGTTTACTTCGAAGTTTTGGATAGGTCTTCAGAAAGCTATGGGTACCAAGTTAACATTTATACTGCATATCATCCTCAGACTGACGAACAATCTAAACGAACTATACAAGTTCTTGAAGATTTGTTGAGAGCTTGTGTCCTAGATTTGGGTGGTAAATGGGAAAATCATTTGCCATTGGTTGAATTTGCATACAACAATAGCTTTCAAGCCACTATTGGCATGGCCCCGTATGAGGCTTTGTATGGTAGACGATGTCGTTCACCATTATACTGGGATGAAGTTGGTGAAAGAAGAATTTTAGGCCTAGAATTGGTCGAGAAGACTATGGAGGCTATATATAAAATTAGATAAAGAATTAAGACTGCCCAAGATCGTCAAAAGAGTTATGCTAACAAAAGGAGAAAAGAATTGACTTTCAAGATTGGAGAGGAAGTATTTCTCAAAGTGGCACCAATGAAGGGAATACTACAATTTTGAAAGAAAGGGAAGCTAAGCCCTAGATTTATCGGTCCAATTGAGATTCTTGAAAAGATTGGGAATGTGGCATATCGATTAGCATTGCCACTTGAACTTTTAGCAGTGCACAACATATTCCACATTTCTATGTTGAGAAAGTACATTTCGGATCCTAATCATGTGGTGAATGTTCGATCACTGGATGTGCGGAGTGATATGACGTACGAAGAAGCTCCTGCAGTGATCCTGGAAAGAAAGGACCATGTCCTAAGAAATTGAAAGATTCCACTAGTCAAAGTCCAGTGGAGTAAACATGGTGAGGATGAGGCTATTTGGGAATGAGAAGAGGACATTTTAGCCAAGTACCCCGATCTCCTTAAAACAAGTAAGTTAAATTTCGATGACGAAATTATTTTAAGTGGGGAGAGTTGTAGTGATCGGAAAAAAACGTGTTTTGTTTCGTTTCAAATAAAATTTTCTTAAAGGACTCAAATATAATTTGGGTTTTATTATTATGTCGCTACGACACTTCCTAATAGTCCAAATTAAATTTTGTTCACAAAAGTAAAATTCTGCCGACTTGATTTTCTTAAATTTTACAAGGTGTTAAAATCTCTGTAGATGACAAATTTTATTTGTTACTTTGTTTTGATGACACATTTTATTGTATATCTATTAAATCTTTAAAAGTTAGATTAGAAAACCTATTGTATAGTGCATTAACCATCCAACTTACCTTATTATTTAAACCCCATTTTTTATTAGCCATTGAAAAAAAATAAAAATAAAAATAAAAAAATAAAATCTGCCATTTGGTTATTGGGATGATAACTTACACGTCCCTATCCATTTCCATTGGGAAGTTAACATTTTAAAATTTCAACCACCCCCATTTCCTCAAGTGTAACCTCCAATTTTAAATACAACTCCCACCACTTCATTTGAGGAATTGTAACTCCCATTTTAAGTGCATTACAC